AAAAGTTATAAAAATAAATAAATTTTATTTTAATTCTATTATTATTTTTTTACTTTAATTATTTATTTTATTAAGAAAATCTCAATTTATTTTTATTTTTTTTCAAAAAAATAATATAAATAAATACATAAATTATTTTTAAAGATCTATTATTTTTACAATTTAAATTGTTTTAAACTATAAAATAAGAATCTTTAAATGTAAAAAATAACTTAATATTAAAGTTCTCCTTTTTCATTTAAGAGTCATTTTTTTTTACATTCATAACCGTTTGAGTTATAAAATAATTTTTATTAATTTTAAATATTTAATTAAAAAAAAAAGCTAACAGTGTTTTGCCCCAAAGCAAGTTGTCATCATAGTAGTGTATTTAACTAACGAAAGCGTGAATATAACAAAAAAAACAAATTAATTACGCAAAGATTGGGTCATGGGTCATGGGTGAAGGGTTGTGAAATCGTCACTGCTTTGCTGCGATGTTGTATTGTTGTAAGGTATTTGAAATTGAGAAAAAATGGAATTTAATAATTTGGTGTTGAAAGCTTCCTGTCCACGCATGGAAATGGAGTGTCAGGTCCTGAACTTATCCTTCGTACTGTTTTATCTGTTAGAACGAATTTGTGGTGGAATATGTTTCAAGAGATATGGAATCCATTTTGTGGAGATCTGTCTCTGTAGGTTCAATCTTATCAGATGATCATTTTTTTACTCCCTCCATTTTACAACCTGAGGAAAATATTTCGGATGTATACTGTTACTAAGTATGTCCATAATATTGTGGTTTAGTTTGAGAATGCTGTTTATAGGTTTTTTTATACATATTTATAAATTTTGTTTATAATTTATATGTATGATAAATTATTCATTTTTATTTAAAAAAAAACTATAAAAGTCATCTTATTTAATATTAATAGAATTTTTAAATAATTTAATAAAATTTTTAAATTTTTTTATATATTATATATTAAATTATTAATTAATTTAATTTTAAATAATAATGTATCTAATTGGATAATTTTAGAATAAATAATTTTTTTTTAAATATAATTTTCAAACACTAAAATATTTTTCATGACACTACAACATAACACTTCGAACAGTTATTACTATAGGACAACACCAAATAGTATTGTTAACCTAAACCTTTAATTACTTGGGTAGAGTACTTTTTATATTTTAAAAATCATAAAAATAAATTATTTTTACTTTTAAAAAAAATTTACTCATCTATCTTAAAATAATAGACTTTTTTGCATTCAAATTAATAATTGGGAAATAATTTTTATTTTATATACAGGACAATGATAGGCTTACCCTCTGCCGTTACACATTTATCCACACCTTAACGGAATCCGTCAAGTACACACCGATCATTCTTCTTCTTTCCCTCACCTCTTTCTTTCTTTTTTTTTTTTCTCTCTCTCGATGGAGAACCCGAGCTGGGTTCTTGAGAACCCAGCTCGAGTTCTCACAGTGGGAACCCGACTTGGGTTCTTTGGTGAGAACCCGACCTGGGTTCTCAAGGAGTTCTCCGAGAACCCCGATTTTGGTTCTCGGAGAACCCAGATAGAGAGAGAGAAAGAAGAGGAAGAAGATAATGAATTTTTGTAAATTTTTGTTAGAATTTTTACAAATTTGATGATTCTCTCTCTAGTGTTTCAATTGATGATTGCTTTGTCTTTGCTCTTGCTCTTGCACAATCTTCTTCCTCAGATATCCTGCTGTCCAGAGACCCATGAAAAATGGGAAAGCATCATGGCAGCGGTGGACCATTTGAGAAAATAGGGGAATGATTAGATGTCCGCAAATTGATTGGAACTATCGAGATAGGAAAGGAGAAAGAGAAAGAAAGGGCTGGGTGCGTTTGGGCGTTAACGACAAAGTAACGGAGATGGGTGTGTGTAATGGAGGGTGTAACGGAGGAGGGTGTAACAGAGGAGGGTAAACGTAGCTTTATCCTTATATATATTATAAAAAATAATAATAATGAGAAGATGTCTCCCTTAAAATATGAAAAGATCACTATTCTATGATAAATTTTAAATAAAACATGTGTATTATTCTTAGACGGAATGAGTAGTAAATATCCAATTATCATTACTATTATGTAATTGACATAATCTGAATTATTATAAAATAATTTTTAATATTTAAGTTACTTGGAATATACAATATACTCCCTTTACTTATTCTTGGTAGACTTAATTTAATTTTTTTACTTTTTAAATATAAATTTTAGATAAAAATTTAACATATTATTATCATATAAATAATAATTGAAAATTTTTTTTAATCAAAGAAAAATATTTGACAAGAACTTCCTTTGAATAAAAAAAAAAACTTTTCAATTGTTGTTTATGTATATAAGTTGTTAAATGATCAACTCTAATGGAGAACATGCAGTGATTTCATCTCAGAATGACGTAGCCAACTCTAATGGAAACTTAAAGAAATGAGATTCTGAGTGTTAGAACATTTTCTTCAAGCTTTAAAGAAATGAGATTTTGAGTGTTAGAACATTTTCCTCAAGTTTTCAACAATCCTGGGCTGGCCAATTGATGACACCATCTCACCAATAATTGACAAAGTGAGATCTTGCTAAAAACTTTGTCAATATGCTCGCCCAAAACTAGCAAATCCTGCAATTTTGACAAAAGGGTGGCAACTCAATTTTGGGCGAAATGTGCGACAGTTGTCAAAATGAGATAAAAGAAATGAAGAAAAATACATATTCATCCCATTTCATACATGGTTTTTTTTTTTTGGTACATCAGCAGTTAAATTAACAACTAATCTCTTAGGAACATTGTCCCTGCACTATCTCCCAGCAAAATAAGGTTTATGCTCGCCGGTGGAGTTGGAAAATACCGAATGCCCAGAGGTGAGCCATGCCCAATGGAAGCCATGTAATTAGCTGCCTTGTTTCCTTCCCCGAGGGTGTGGAGAATGGCACAAGAGTGGAAATGATCCAACAATAAGTGGATATCGTTAAGCAATATTGAAGCCGGGCCAACAGATAATTGTCGGCAATGGATTAGTTGCACAGCAAGTAGTGAATCCATTTCTAGCATCAAGTGTGATATTCCTAGAGAATGGGCAAGCTTCAGACCTTCTCTACAGCCCCACAATTCTGCAATAAAACTTGAAGTGATGCCCACATTTACAGAAAACCCGTGAAGCCAGCGTCCATTGTGGAGACCACCTGCAGTAGTCCCACCTGCAGTGTGATATTCCTTTTTTTTTTTTTTTGATGTATATGAAAGATTTGACAACGAAATGAAAGAAGTATTTCATACGTGGTAATACATACTTCTCTCATTTCTTTGTCAAATCTTTCATATACAAAAAAAAAAAAAAAAAAGGAAAAAAAAAAGAAGAGAAAGAAAGAAAGAAAGAAAGAATTACATAGAGATAGGTGGGAGAACAAATGACAAATCTGAAGAGCTTGCCCTTAATCTGCAGGTGTTGTCTTTATCAGTAAATTAACCACCATGGGGCTCACTCCATGAGGAAGAAGGTGATGAATAGTTCATTTTTTAGTAGCAATAGTTAAACTTGTGCCAAAAGAGCTTAGAAGAGAAGGAGAATCACAAGTTCAAGACCATCGCCTTGTAGCTTTTAATGAGAGCTACAACTTTAGTGGAATGTTTTATGGATTTGGAGAGTGTTTACGGCTCCAAATGGAAGAAACTAAGTGGGTTTTGAGAGAGAAAGTTGCTGGAAGTAGTGAGAGAAAATCTCCAGCTTTCAAAACCTTAAAACTTTTGAAAAAATGGTGAAAAACTGTGTAAAAATTGTGAAAAAATGGAAGAAAATGGTATTTATAGTATTCATGTGCAATTTGTAATTTTATGAAATAAGTTGATATGAGGCCATTAGATAAGCGTCTTAGATGGAACGAGGGCATGTCTCCATCATTTGTGAACTTTAGTATACTCCTCCTTTTACCTATTGAACAGTGAGGCATTTGACTAAAAATTTGGAATTGGTGGAGTGATAGGAGACTTTACCTCATTTGACTACAAGGCAAAAAACACCTTTGGTAAAGCCCATGTTAGAGGCTCTGAATCCACAATTTTGTTTTTGTTTTTGTTTTTTTTTTATCAACAAAACAAAATAAAATTTTATTATAAGTGGAGTACAAATGGTACTTTTACCCATTTTAACTGTACTATACAAAATACATCAAAACCAACAAAGGCAAATCCATACCACAGCTAAGCATTCAGTTGTTTTTGAAACTGTTTCACATTACTTTTATAACTTCTTGCCTCTATAGCACACTCAATTGGCCTTGACAACCATTCTTGAAATGAGAAGGCACATCCCTCCATTTTGTGCTTAATCCACATAAATGATTTAACTAGTATCATACTTAACATCTTTTCCCCAAATTTTCCTTCATTTTTAAACACTATGGTGTTTCTCCAATACCATATATACCAAGATATAAGCAGAAAAATACAAGATCCCATTTCTTTGCATACATTCTTTCCCAATCCAAACAAAAAATAGTTAGCCATCCCCCTTACTGTATTGGGCAACACCTCTTCCATACCCCACCACCTCAACACCTTCATCCAAACCATCCATGATTCTCTACATGTACAAAACAAATGATTATTCTCCTCCATTTGCTCCTTACACAACCCACACAACAGTTCCCCATCTTGCAACACTACTCCTCTTTTATGTAAATTGCCCTTAGTAGCTAGCCTATTTAAACATAATCTCCATCCAAAAAAATTGACTTTTGAAGGCACTAACTTACTCCATATAATCTTACACACCTATTCATCTAAAATATTTTGTCCAGGAGATAAAAATTCATAAGCTTTCTTAACTATATAAACACCATCCCCACCATATAGCCACTTCCATCTATCTTCCTTGCCTTCCTCCTTAATGCCCACACTTCCCAACAACTCCCATAACCTCTCCTCTTCACCCAACTCTCTGCCCATTAGCCGCCTTCGCCACTCCACTCTCCATCTCCAACAATCTCCCTCCCACTCCCCCATCAACGTACCATCCTTTTTTACAACCAACTCAAATAATCTAGGGCAAACATCCATTAAGTTTTTATCCCCTACCCAATTCTCCCTCTAGAAACCTACCTTCTGTCCGTTTCCTACTTCCCACCTAAACCCCTTTACCAACATATCACTAAGCTTCTCTAACTTCCTGCCAATACACATGATATCCTTCCAAATATTAGACATATTTAAACCCTCAACAGCAGTACTATCTACTGCCCTCTTCCCCCCATAATATTTATCCCATACCACCCTTTTCCATAACCCCTCCACCCCATCTCCTAACCTATACCACCACTTCCCTACTAAAGCCCAATTTCTTCTACGAATATCAAGCACCCTAAGACCCCCCTTATCCTTACTGCAACAAATAGAGTCCCATTTACCTAGGAAAATTTCTTTTAAGCTCAACCCCACCCTATAAAAAAATCTCTTTGAATAGCAATTAATTTAGAAACCACACAATTCGGTAATAAAAATAAAGACATAAAAAATTGGAAGAGCAGAGAGTACCGAATTTAGTAGAGTGATGTGGCCTTCATAGGACAATGTGGCATGTTTTCAACCAGCAAGCTTGACTTGAAACTTATTTACCACTAGCTCCCACAACTTTTTATTCCTTGGATTCCCCCCAATAGGTAATCCTAAATAGATAAAGGGTGTAACCCCAACTTCACATCTTAAAACACTTGCTGCTCTTCTTAACCACCTCTCTGAAACACTAAACCCATAAACATTTCTCTTGTTGAAATTAATTCTTAATCCTGAAATCATCTCAAACCATCAAAGTATTGTCTTAACCATTGTTATATTTTCACAATCAGCTCGACCCATAATAATTGTATCATTCGCAAATTGAAACAAAGACACAACTAGCCCTCTCTTACCAATCTCAACTCCATGAAATAGCCCCTCAACTTCTGCTTTTTTCACAATTCCATGCAACCCTTCCCCTACCATTGAGAAAAGAAAAGGTGGTAATGGATCTCCTTGCCTCAACCCTTTCCTCACCTCAAATTCCTTTGTTGGAGAATCATTTACCAGGACTAAGACTCTTGCTAACGAAAGACACTCCATAATCCATCTTCTCCATTTGGCCCAAAAGCCCATTTTATCCATCATCCAATCTAAAAATGACCAATCCACATGGTCATATGCTTTTTCAAAGTCTCCTTTGAAAACAAAAGTCGATTGCTTCCTTTTTTAACTTCATCCATTACTTCATTCAAAACCAACACACTATTGACCAACTAACGACCTCCTAAAAATGCAGACTAAGTTTCACCGATAATTTTTGTCATCACTTTCTTAAGTCGATTAGCTAACAACTTTGCTAACAACTTATACATACAACCAATTAGACTAATTGGTCGATAATCCTTAAGCTCCCTAGGGCTTAACTTCTTAGGTATCAGAGCTAGAAAAGTAGAATTCAACCCTTTTACTAACCTTCCATTCTAGTGAAATTCCATGAAAAACTGCACAAAATCAGTCTTTAAGATTCCCCATGCAAACTTGATAAAGTTAAAATTATACCCATTTGGTCTTGGAGCTTTAGACCCTTCGCAACTCTTCAAACCTTCTTCAATTTCTTCTACAGAAAATGGCCTCTCCAACCACTCCTTATTCATTGTCGAAATCTGTTTACAGTGTAAACCACCTACCCTTGGTCAATTCCATGAATAAGCTCGAAACAGCTTGCTATAGTACTGAACAATCTCCTTTTTCACCAATTCTGGCTCATCTACCCATTTGCCATCACACAAAATGCCTGTAATATTGTTTCTTGCGTGTCTTCCAGTTGCAACCCTATGGAAATATCTCGTGTTGGCATCCCCTAATCGCAACCAATTACATATGGATTTTTGTTTCCATATTGCTTCCTTCTTCTTCATGATGTTCCACATCATCTGAAATCCCTCCTTTCTCTGATTTATCTCAAATTCATCTAAATCAAAATCCTCATTCTTGAAATCCATCATTTCTACCCAATTAGCAGCTTTCTCAAACTGTGCTTTCCACATCCCCAAACACCTCTATTCCAACCTTTTAACATCTCTTTTAAAGTTTTCAACTTCTATTTGCATCTATAACCGACATATCCCTCTATTTCCATCTTATTCCATTTCTCTTCTATAAAAGTCAACAATTTTGTATCGTGGTTTTATTAGGTAAGTCAAACTAGTTTGAACAATGGGTTACTTCCTTATTTTCTTCTAAGTTTGGGTTTGACAAAAAGAATAAGAATAGTGAGTTTTTACTTGTTGACAAGCATGCTACACCTTTTGGCGAGCCTTTCCTTTGTATCCATCAAAAAGGTTTAACAAGGGTGCCATCAAGTTTTACCACACTGACATCTTGTTTTAACAATGAGACAAGACCTATCACTCCATGTCTTTCACTCTACTACTCCCATGATCTTTCTTGTTATCCTCATGGCGTGGTTCCACGAGTTTGGCAACCTACACAGTGGCACATTTTTTTGTCAGATATGAATATATTACAAACAATATTTTTAACAAGCTATGAATGACAAACAAAGTCGGTCAGAAGTTTGTAGTCGACAACTCCTACCACTAATTGACAATTTCTACCTCTTGCACGCTTTTGCATTTGCTTTTCGTCACTTGATCTACTGGCAGTGGCAAGCGAGGATTGGTGGGCAATGACTTGCCAATTGTAAACAATGATGATTCTCGTCAAACTTTCATTAGTTATAAGCAGTGACAACTTTGGTTAAATTTTCTTCAATCATGAATAGTGATGATTTTTATCAAATTTTCACCAATTATAAACAATAATGACTCTTGTTAAACTTTCACCATTCGTAAACAATTTTTGAATACAAGAACTTGAGCAACACTTAATAATACTGTCAATTTTTCAATTTTTGAATTGCTAAATTATTTTAATGATGAAATTTAAAATATGACAATGAGGGTGATTTGACAAATGACAAGGATCATTAAATTCGAAATATTTTCTGTAAATTTAAAATGATCATTTTAATTCAAACTTCAAAAATAAACTTTATATACTAAACCAAAATTGATGTACCATTAACATTTTTCAAAAGTTCAGGTGCTGTTGCTTCCATTGTCCTATAGTGGCTCCGTCTTGTCCTGACCAATTCTATCCGATTAAAAACATTATCACCTCAAGATCACCGTCGCATGAAATCACTAAATTTGGATATGTGGCTGATGCTTCCCATGTATTTGCTTATTTATTTATTCTTTTATTTTTATTTATCTGAACATGGGAGGTTAGGAGGAAGGAGATTACGAGGAGGTGCGATTCGAAACCTATATGGTGAAATAGTCTTTAACAATAGATTAGGTGGCGAC